GATCGTGTAAGCAAGGTAAGATCTGTGCTTGAAGCATCACCCAATCATGCAACCAAAGTGTGATATGATATTTGACATCTCTGCTTCTTTCGTGCAGGCTCTGCAGGTAGGCGCTGTGTGGGTGAATTGTTCACAGCCATGCTTCTGCCAATCTCCATTCGAAGGGGTCAAATGGAGTGGCTTTGGGCGTGAACTAGGGGAATGGTATTTACGCAAGCTTTTAGCTATTTCTTGGATGATTATTGTCCTTATTACTTGCTATATCCTGTTTGTGGAAACTCAAAAACCTGGGATTTGATATCCTCTTTATGTTTCTCGTATGAGAATATGACTGTAATCGGATTGTAATGTGGATATTGTTTTTCTTTGCAGGGGACTCAAAAATTACTTGAGTGTGAAACAGGTTACAGAATACGTATCTGATGAACAATGGGGTTGGTACGAGCCTCCGAAGCAATGAAGTTCATCATGGAAATATTAAAAATATTTGCTGCTCCACTAAAAATGCCGGTAATAAACGTGAGCCATCCGATCCACCTAAATCTCTCTGTGTGTGTATGTATGTATGAATTTTAACTTGTTGGACCATTGTCAAATAGTTGAGTTTCGCTTTAATATGCATGTGATGTATTTGGGCGACCTGTTTTGAACGTAAGTTACGAATGCATGCTATTTTCTACTAATGTTTTGCTGCCTCTTTCCGTGGGTAATTCCCAACCTTTTAAGAAGAATCACACACACATTTTTTATTCGGATTTCAAACATGATAAATATTTTAAAATGAGCATCTTTGTGTTATATGTTTGTAGCTCACTCTGACTCGGATAACATTGACAATTCATGTGCTTAATAGAGATTCGTTAATTTAATCTCCCACAGGATTATGTTCCTGGGTGTGACCAACTTGTATTCAACTGAGTTATTATTATTTTTAATAGAGATTCATAGTTATGGCTGTGCACACGGAAGTGAATGCATTCTAGAAAATGAATATTGGCAAAGGATTAATGTATTGGCGGAAGGGGTAGATATAAAATATAATTGATACTCAGCGGTTAAAAAGTAACGGGTACACGATGCTGTTCAATAAAAATAAATAAAGTTCTTGATGCTTTGCTCTATGTGCATTTCCCGTTGAAGAAGATGATCTTTTATGTCGAACTGATTGGCCCAAATTTGATAACATTGTTTTATAACCGTAAATATAGAGCAATTGATAAGTAATTTTGGGTTATTTGAATGATAAGTTATGCTATACATCAAATTAATTAGGGTAAATTATACAAATGGTCATAATATTTGAGTAAGTTTTTATTGTTCCCATTGAAGTTTTAAAAGTAAAAAATTGGTTATCAATATTATTGACTTATAGCAAATCAATCCTTCACCATTAATAACAATTATTACAGTAACGATATATTGATATGGCGCATTAAATCAACTGACTTTGTATGTTTAGTCATGTGGAATACTATTTGATTGATTGTTTGACTCTTCACGTTCTATTGTGTGAGACATCCTTAATAATATGAAACAGTTTATACCTTTTTGTCAAGATAACAATTTTGTTAGAGTTAATTGCACTAAACCTCTTCAGACTATGGCTTATGACTCATTCTAAGTTGGTCTTTAAAGTTTTGAACATTCTAAATTCATCATTAAACTATGATTTCATTTTAAATTTATCTTTAAACTTTTGAGCATTCTAATTTCATCCCTAAACTATATCCATCATTCTATATTAATCCCTAAACTTTTGAGTGTTTAATTTCAACCCCAAAATTTTAAGTGATTTAAGGGATCTTATTGGAATGTTTAAAAGTTTGGAGGCTAATTTGAAATTAAGATCATAGTTTGGGGATGAATTTAGAATTTTTAAAGTGTAGGGACCCATATATATTGAGTCATAATCTATGGATGAAATTAGAATGTTCAAAAGTTTGAGGATTAATTTAAAAAGAGAGATATGGTTTAAGGATGTGTAATGCAATTAAACCATTTTATCATCGATGTATAAAAATCTACCTTTAATAAAACATATTAACAAAAATTAAAACCTAAGTTTCATGTTTATGATGAATACAAAAAAGCTATTTTATCATGTGCATGGAGTTCATTCCATTCAAAGGAAGCGGCTAGGCCATGTTAAGGCTAGCGCCGCATCATTATTCTCATTCAACGCTTGAAGCTCGTCTCCCAAGTCCCTAAGTCTACGGTAATGAATGAGAGTCAGATATCACTAAATGTGCTTTAAATGCATGCCAAGATTATTGGTGTTGACCACAACCTTCAATCTCATATGAATGTTTCTAGTCGGTCATATAATGTTATTGTAAGTGCAAATCATAGAATGGGTCCAAACAGAGCTAAAATCACAGTCCCTGATTCGATTCCAATAGTTAAAAAAATATGTAAAAGAACATGTGATGATTGCCGAACCCTGAAAGTCCACGGTAAAGAATAGTCGGATTCGTTTAGGAGCAGCAGCAAATAATAATTGGTGTAGGGTAGGTATCCCTTTGTTTTCATACTTTCAGTGAACGCAAATGCACAGTTGTATGCATAGGGGAACTGCTACCATTTAATCTCATTGAATTTAACAACACCAATAGAGACAAAGTTCGTATCAGGCAAGCCAACAATGGCCCACAGAAAAAGGGATCCTGTTCCTCTGTGTTAGTCCAGCCTCGGAATTATTCATATTTTTACGCGAATAATTTATTTGAAAGAATAAAACAATTTTAATTATTAAAGGGATTATATTATTAGTGTTCTCCGCAAAAGTTTAAGTTTAAGTTGAGAAAAAATATTCTGAAAATTAAAATGTCGAAATATCAATAATTAGTTGTTTTAGTAGGATGAGATATTAGATATCTTAAGTAAGGTCATGAGTTTGAATCTTAACGTTTGCGAATGGAGTAAACTGAACTGAGAAATCGTCTTCATCTCTGTAGTACCCGATCTAAATTAATCGATTAATAAATCAGATATCAGTGATTATATAAAAACATATTAAAATAAAATAATTTTAATTTAATTTTTTATATAACGATTGAGTCGTCTTTAGACTTGAGAGTCCTTGAATACGTTTTAAGTTGATCTATTCAATTTCATGGTTTACGGAGAATATCACTTTTTTTAAAGTTGGTTGCAGTTGTCTTCACTCAATTGTTAAGAGTGAAGTGGAGCAATAATTTTATTATTACCTTATTAAACAAAAAGATCAAACCATAATGGGCAATTTTGGTAAAAAATAATTATGAATAAAAGGATTATGGAAATAATGGTTCTTAGAAATTATTTAATAATATTTTATTTTTCGATAATACTAAGATCGTCAACATAAATAGACGACTTTATCTCAGAAATGTCCCAATATGTGTTGGTACAAACCAAAGAACAAGTTAGATAGTACAATAAAGATAACGTATATGTATGAGTTTTATTTTTAATCATTCAATAAATATATATTTTAAAAAATTAATATTTAATTGATACAAAATACATTTTTTTATATTATCAAACGTAACGTTAACTAACACGAATCCAACTGTTATTAATAGAAGGTCATCGAAACCGGGTAAAATCGGCATCAGTGATCGACCGTTTAGCTCAACAATTGAATTTTTAAGCCGGCAGATGAGGACCTTAAAGGAAAATCGTCTTTGCCCAGGGACAATGTTGTCATTACGATAGAAAATGCAATATATCCATGACTAAAATTGCAACCATAAGGGGATTACAAATCATGCTTTCTTCACTGTTACAAAAGATTCCTCTTCTTTTAATGGACCCAAAATTATTAGTAAATAAATAATAATGGGCAATTTCAAATTTAATAAACTGTAAATACTTTATCATTAAGGCTATCCCACCGTCTTTCATTAACAAATATATATAATATATAAAAGTAGTAACAAAATTTATAAAATATTTTAAATATAATCGTTCCTTTATTTTCTTATCTCTAACTATTTGTTTCTTGTTTATTTATTCTATTTTTATTTTGTAAATGAAGATCTTAATTTTAATGTTAGTTGTTGACGTTAATTTTAATTTTAGTGTTATTTATTTGTTTATTCTTCGATATTTTACGTATTTAAACTCACATATTTAAATGCAAATAACAATCGAGGTCAGTTGATATTCATTTTGTAAAGTGTATTTATTTTATTTGAAGATATGAATTTGAATATATATGGACATATTTGAGAAGGATAAAATTTTAAAGATTTAAATTTAATTGCTAGTGATATAATCTGACAAATTAAATGAGATTGGATCGTGACAATGATTAGGATGCAAAAATGATATCTATGTAGTAAGATTTCAAACTAGAAAAATTAAGCCATTAAAGGAGGGACATTATCAGCTGGTATCTGTGCTTTTAATTAGCTATTCGTAGTTATGGAGCTTTAGGGACCATATAAGAGAGAGAAAGGCAATGGTCCATCAAGGCAATTATTACGACCTCGATTCCTTTGTATTTTAGTAGAGCCTATTGGTTTGAACAAATAGTGATTTTTTTTATTTATAGTATAAACGAGAATTGATATGATATATGGCCTGCCCTACCCTACTTGCATAAACAATTATTGTTGACATATACCTACCTTCCCTTGTCTACTTATAATTCATATTCTCTTCTCAATTCATTGCTTCTCTCTCTTCCTCGGAATACCTCGTTTACACTGTATATGCTCTGTAAAACAGCAATGCTGCCCTAACAAATGACATTGTTGTTGCTTAACAACCTCTGTTTTTAGTATGAGATCGCTTGTTACTAATCAAATGATACCTAGAATCAAGAAAAATCGAATAAAATTATTGATTTTAGTTCATAAGATTCAAATCCGAACTTTATAAATTCATCACCTAGAAAGCATCAACTATAATATAAATTAAACTTGTACGGTTATATTATGATTCGTTAACATTATTGTTGGGTTTATATACATGGTTTATAATAGTTGATTATGATTATAATTTCAATAAAAAATGGAGGAAATTACTAGGAATCGATTACATAACAGTGCTGGATATTGCAACTCTGTTCTTTTTTTCTTCTTCTTTTTTTGATGTACAAATTATGCATATAGCTCAGAACTGCAGGTTGAAGAAAGATGTGGTTTTCTGGGTTTGCTAGCCTATATATGGATCCTAAAGTGGGAGGAACTGCATGTATTGGTTTTTACAGGTTAAAAAAAGGAGAAACTTGGGGTTTTATGTCTCTTATGCAGCAATTTAATGGGGGCAAGAAACATGAAAATATCCTCAGCTTGTAGCCTCGGAGATGCTGTGTAATGAAGGCTGCCATGTCTTTGATCTGCCCGCTGAGTTGCTCGTTGTTGTTGACCTCGATCGCTGCCTTTCAAGTTTGCTCGCCTTTTCCGGTTCAGATCTCTGACCAGCACCCTTCTCATATGGCTTCTCTGCCGCAGATTCTTGGTCTCTGTTCATCTTTGCATGTTTCTTTGCATACAAACCCTTCATCACCTCTGAGAATCCAAAAGGAAAAAACTCTATCAGATTACAAACCCAAAGAAAACAAGCAATCAGAATATGTGCATATATATATATATATATATATATATATATGATACCTTGGGTGGTGATGAGGCGATAAACATGGCCGAGAAGAAGAGTATCCGTGGATCGGAGAAGCTTGATCCTGGTTAAACGAACAGGGTTGACAGTGGCGGTTTGTTGTGACAGTGAACTTTTGCCATTGTTACAGGAACTGGAATGGGAATGGTACATGGTGGTGGAGATAAGCTGAGCCACATAGTGACCGGGGTTCATCTTCATAATCTCACTAGCAGTCACCGGCCAATAGAATCTCTCCACTTTCCCACACGGGTGCTGGAGAACCAGAGTTGCTGCATCAGTAGCTTGGCAGTTTCCCATTCTTTTTCAGAGGAAGGAAAAGGAAGCTATCTGGGCAGAGAGGAGAAAATATGCTCTACTATCTTTATAGAGAACCAAACCACCAAAGAAAAAAGCTTTTTTTTCTTTCTCAAAACTAAAATACATCATTTTATAAAATTAAATACTTAAATGATATCCATCTCACATTATTTATTTATATGCATTTTTTAACTTAAATATGAGAAATGTATAATTAATTGAATAGTTTATTATTTACGTGACACAATTGTAAGAGATTCAATTAATAAATTATATTATTTTTCAAAATTTTAGTAATATATTTTGGAGTTTATATTAACGAGAATCAAGCGATTTTATTTATGCTCATACTAACACGTATTTTCGATACATATCACGCCTGTTTCTCATTTGGATAAAATTTATTTATTTATTTCCTTCATTATTTTATCTTCATTTTGGTCATTGACGATATGAGGTTGAATATGTGTTACTAAAAATTTAAGAAATGATCATATCACATGAATAAAACATATCTTATTAGTCGCGTATTTTCTAATTTTAGGTGCTACATGAGTAAAGGTGCATCTAATCAGACCCAAAAATATCATTTTTTTATAAATAATTAGAGACAAATCTCATTTTAATATTTATTTTTTTTAAAATAATATATTAAAATAAAAATCCATCTTAAATGTATTTGTTACAAATAACAATGGATAATCTATCATAAAATGATAATAATAAAAGAAATAAATACACATATTTTACTAAAGAATTCTTTCAAGAAAAATCACTTATAAATAAAAAAAATCACTTTGTCAAGAGAAATCATAAAAATCGTACGTCAGATTCTAAACATGTCACAATATGTACAAAATTCTTTTTTAAACTTAAAGTTTTCAAAAATTTCTATATCTAATACAAATATTTTAAAATTTTATTTTTTTTCATCAAATAAATGTTATTATGTATCTTTTAAATCATACTAGAACAAAATATAGATTAAAAACTCCAACAATATTAATTAATCGAAGGAGAGTCAATTAAAGTGAGAACAAAATATAGAAATTTAGTTATTTTTTAATTGGAGGTGTTCGGACCCCTATTGCGCAATGATTTGGTGAGCTGTGAGTGGTTGTCTTAAAGGGTCAAAGGTGAACGCATGACCGCAAAACCTCATTACGAACTTTTTTTAACGATGCGTTACTAAAGCCTTAATTTAATAGTTCTATCTCCTCTGAAAGTAATGTAATAGTATAAATTATCAAATATTTTATATTTTAAATATGGAAAATATAATTTTTTAAATTGCATTTAAGTCCATTATACCATTGTTGTCTCCTTTTTGTATTTACATTACACCATTGTTGGACAACACTGTTCCAAAGAGGCTCAAACATTGCCACGTCAACCAAGTTTATCCAACAACTCATCTTGGAATGGACGGTTATCTCTGGATATGTGGACTACATGTGGACGGACAATGTTTTTCTGTTTATCATCTCAAAATTCGATCGAATTCTGAATCAAGTAATTCTTTTTTTAATCTAAATTAAATTAAAGACTAATAAGAAATATTATATTTAAATTGAGTTTAATAATTCGATCTAATCTGACATGCAACTATTCTTTCACAAATCACGTGACACTAATAATGTCTTGTAAGACTTCATCGCTGAATATATGGTTGAACTTTCATAATGTTACAAGGATTTGTGCACAAAAAACAATAAGATGTAACCCCTAACTTTAGGAGGGAGGGAAGGGGCGTTGGTGGCATTGGTTTAGTGGGATAATTGCACTGTTAATCCCTGTCAAATGTTAGTATAATTCCTAGTTCCAGCTAGATGTGAGAATCTGGATCTAGTTTAATGCCAATTAACCAATATTCTAAAATGAAGATATTGTAGTTTACTATAACCATCAAATCTATAATCAGAATGGTCGACAAGATGTTCAGATAAAAAAGCATCTTTAGAATTTACTTATCTCAACTTGATTTAGCCTAATCCCTATTTTAATTTGGTCACTCGTCGAGCTCTAAATGCAAGCTAAAGACAACAATAATTGACAGTCACGGTCCCATTTGGGCACGCTCCAGTGATCGAGAGTATGACGCAGCGGTGGACCATGACCCATCCGTCATTTCATATGGATCGCCCATCCAACCGAAAAATCTAGGAACTTTTATGAGCGTGCGTGTGAAAATAAAAGGCTTTACTTTACTTTTTCTTTATAAAAATATTTTAATAATTTTATACTTTATTTGATGAGTGTATTTTTTTAAAAAAGTCTTAGATGTTTATCAATATGTTTAAAATATTTGTTAACCATTGATAATGTATAAATTTAAAAGGTTATATTCATTTTTTATGTTAATTTTAACCTTTTTATTTGTACGAAACGTTATATTAATATGTATCTAACAATTATATTATTAAGAATTATATTTTATTAAAATCTTGACATGAACATAAGATGTGTGTCACGAGTGAGAGGAACCCACATGTGTCATTTAATGGAATCTTTTAACTATTGTTACAATTGTGACACTTAAAATAATAATATTTACAACATTAAATGTTTGAATTGACATTTAAAATAATTTAGACACTCAAATAAAAAATGATATAATTAAAATATTTATTTTTATATTAACCCTAAAACTTTTGGAGAAAGGATCCAATTTGCCTAAAGCAAAGCCTTTTTCTTCACACAAGTGAGGCCTACTAACAACTAAGGACTCATTTTACTAGATATATATATTTTTGATGCTAATATGGGTCCAAGATGGTCCTGAAAGATTTGATGCTAACAATAATAATGATTAAAAATATCGTAAAACAAAATTAAAATAAATAAAAAGATATCAATATAAATTGAAGTTTAATATTATTTTATAATTGATAATTTTTTTTATCTTTTTAAATTCCATTATTATTAGAACATAAATTGACATTTTCTATTTAAAAATTATTAATCTTTAATAAACTTCTAATTTATTAATGCTAATAATTTCTATTCCTTTTTTTAATATTTTTTTAAAATGCCATGTGATTGGATATATGTACCAAACTGATAGATATTATTTAGAGTATTAATTATTTTAAAAAAGAATTTATAATATTAATGTTAATTTATATATAACGATAACACTTTAAATTTAATAATTTAAAAAATTATTTATATATTTTATAAAAAATTTATTCAGTCTCATCTTTGTGGATGTAATTTATTCTTAGTGATGGAAAGAAACCTTAAGCTTACATAGCTTGATTTGACCGTGCATGAATTTCTTGTGTATACTTTTGAAGCACAAATGACAAAATCACCTTATGACATTACACAATTATGATTGTGTTTTACATTCTTGGAGAGACCGTGTAAGTTTTCATGTTTGGTTGACCAAATTGGAAACAAAAACAATTCATCATTTTTCATATTAAAAGTTGTAAGGGCACTTACCCTACAAGATTTTTATTTTGTTATTTTGATTTTTTCTGTCATCAATATTTATGATAAATATTTTTAAATTAATTATTCTTATATTTTTTTAATAATATGCGATGATTATAAGATAATATATGTTCAGAATTTTTCTTAACTATTGACAATATACACACTACATACGTAACTATTCAAATCTAGAACTTCAACAGAGAACAACACTTCCGTTAACAATTAAGGCTACTTAACAACTTCCATTTATCATACCATTAAAAACATGTTTATGAATGTAATTTAAAACATTTGACAATTCATTTGATGCTTATAAATTTAAAACAATGTCTTTAATTCAAATACAAAATCCCTGAGACAAAATCTTAAATGATTAATCAATGCTAAATCTCACATAAATCTCATAGCTTTCACCTTTTTGGACCATCAATAATTCTAATTATGTGGTTCACAGGCTGCCTAGTTTCCCTTTTCTTCCTTCCTTCTCAGTGTTGATTATGATTTTGCAGAGCTGAAATATCTAAACCACAGAAAATTAGTATTATAAATCTTTGAGTTTGTATTTTCATTTTTTGACATTTATTCTCTTATACTTTTGAATGGACTATTCCTACCTAAATTCACATGCCCAACGACATAGTTATCAAATAAATAGGACTAAGAAAAGAAAGCACCCATCTTGATTTCTCTTTGCTATTTTTGAAAAAGAGAGAAAGAAATTAATAAAAAAAGTATAAAGTTTTCATCCCGAATAGGGGGTAAATGAATCGAACTTCAACGAACAATGTTATGTTCTTGTTCGTTTGTTTATTTTTAAAGTTGTTCATATTTGGTTCGTGTTTGTTTAAATTTTTAATATCGTGTTCATGTTCGTTTATTTATTTTTGAAGGTTTTTATGTTCGTTTAATGCTAGCGAACATGTTCATTTATATTTTCACGAACATGTTTGTTTAGCGTTTGTTTATTGTTAATTTATCGTTCGTTTGTTTATTTATTTAATTTTTATTTTTATCTCTTCATTTGCAATCTAAAGAAATGTGATAAAATTACGCCACTAGTGCTTAAACTCCTTAAAATTCACAAATTAAATTTCAACTTTTATCACGTGTTCAATTAGTCTCTACCTTCAGTCCTTCACCGAATTTAAAATGTAAAAGAAAAGGAAAAAGATAACCGAGTAAACGAGCTTGTTCATGAACATAAATGAACAAGTCGATAAATGTGCTCATAAACGAGCTTCAAACAAGCTGGTTTGTGAATATAAACGAAACGAACACACCTCTATTTGCATTCGTTTGTTTATTGAATGAACATTAAAATTTTTGTTCATACTCGTTTATTTAGCTTAACGAACGTTATACGAGCGGTTCACCGAATACTTTGTTCATTGTAGTTGCGTCTGCAATACATGTATGTATTCTCAATGATTAAAAAATATTATGAACATATATTATCATATAATCACCTTAGATTATTAAAAAAAATCGAAACAATTAAAAATATGACTCATCGTGTATGCTAGCAGTTTCAGTCTTGATAGGTTTTCAGCAATGGATTCCTCAATCTAAAACAGCACGGTTTGTTAAGTTAAAATAAAGGCCCGCCACATACAC